ATGTACATATAAACATTTGATATCACAAAATCTACTTACTAGTGGAGTACATCACTTGAAATATTTGTCCGATGTTAGTCAATGGGTGTGGCGGAATTAAAATACAAAATTTTTAATAGATGTAATGATGAAGAAACTAAAGACTAGTATTTAGTAAAATATTGACTTAAAATTGAAGCAAATGCAGTAAAGTAAATATCTTATATTAAGTCTTTATGGATAATTAATATTTATAAATTCCGATTTAGTAAAGTGCTGAAAAAATAATTACATTAAGAAAAATTCCCAAAAAATATTAAATTATGTATATTTATTTATATATCTATATGTCTACTCTTCAATTGTATAAAGTTATAACTCAAATTACCGTGCTCTATACGGGCCACTTTTATGTTTTTATAACTATTTACACCTTCTTGCCATTGCAATGAAAGAGTGTTTCAATGAGAGATATCTCTTAAGTCTTCCAAAATCCTCAGTTTTATTTGAAGGAGCTGGAGCTAAAAAGTTTATGAGCTTGCATATTTTATTAGTTTAAAAATAAACATATTTTATTCAAGGAACATCTGGATTTTTATGAATACTGTAGATCAGAGTTGTCCAAAGTACGACCCGCGGGCACTTGCGGCCCGTGGCTATGTTTATGCGGCCCGCGACATGTTTTTTATCTATTACAATTTCGCAAATTTTCATTTGGTTTACTAGTAGAACTTAATTATTTTTAAATTTATAAATTAATAAAACTAAATTTAATATTATAACCGTATTTATAATGTTATAATGTATGTATAATAACAACTATGAACTTATGGTATGTTGTTGTTTCTGCGGCCCTCCAATCTGCACCGGAATTTATATTGGCCCGCGATCGCATCTATACTGGACAGCCCTGCTGTAGATAAACACATACCAAAATGCCTGTATATTTAACATAAACCTTTTCGATTGAAATCGTTGGAATATTTTTAAATTAGAGTTACTTGTTGTGTCCCATAACTATATTGCACATATATAAATATATAAATTATTAAAATCGGACAAATAAAATATTCAAAAATAAAATAAAATTCTAAATTAATAAGATAAAATAAACTGAGAAACTTTTATGGAAGATAAATTTGTTATTATATTAGTTATAAGAAGATGAAAGATATGTTATAGACTAACCGTTACTGAAGT